ATTAGTTGCAGGACATGCCATTGTCATTATGTGTTCTTCTTGAAGGAACGTTTTCACGGCTTTTGCCCTGTGGCAAGATGTATTATCATTCTGAAAAATGTCATCATCACCAAACATCCTTTGAATTGATGGATTAAGAAAACGTGTCCAAGATCTCAATATAAACTTGTGCAATTATTGAAGATTTAATGACTGTCATCTCCCCCTCACACTGACATGCAACCCCATATCATCAATGATTGTGGAAATTTGCATGTTTTTCTTCAGTCAGTCTTCTTTATACATTTCATTGGAATGGCACCAAACAAAAGTTCCAGCATCATCACCCTGCCCAATGCAGATTTGTGATTCATCACTGAATATCACTTTCATCTAGTCATCCACAGTCCACAATTGCTTTTCTTTAGCACCCTGTAACCTTGTTTTTTTTCTGTTTAGGTGTTAATTAGGGTTTTTGTTAGGCTTTTCTGTATGTAAATCCCATTTTCTTTAGGAGGTATTTTACAGTTTGGTCACAGTCATGGACTCCAGTTTCTGCCCATTTGTTCCTCATTTGTTTTGTTGTGCATTTCCAGTTTTCAGGGCATGTTGCTTTTAAGTTGTCTATCTTGACGCTTTGATGTCTTCCTTGGTACGCTTCCCTTTTACAATCTTCCCATTTGATTTGTACCCGGTCCAGATTTTAGAAACAGCTGACTCGGAATAACCAACATCTTTTGCAACATTCCATGATGATTTACCTTCTTTGTTTCAACTGACGTCTCTTGTGTTGGAGCCATGATTCATGTCAATCCGCTTAGTGCAACAGCTCAGCGCTGTTTAACTGCAGACTAATTAGCAGATGGAAGCTGATGCAGATGTTTTGTTTTAGAACTGCAAAGTATATAGTGATTCCATAATGTTTTCCTCAGAATTGAGTAATACCATATTTTTTTTCCTCTGCTTGATCTGAAAAAAAAACAGTTGCAATTGATTAGTTTTCTTTCTTTTTTTAATTTCTTATAGCCAGAAGGTTGGAATGTTAAATGAAACTAGTTTTGAGGCATGTCTGTGATTTTTTTTTTTTTTTTTTTACACAATTAAACAATTGAATTATTTTCCAAGAGTGGTGATTCCATACTTTTTGCCAGGGGTTGTAGTATGCAGTACTACAGGACAATTTTATGGTACAGTTTATATAGGCCCTAACTAGGAATGATGCTCTGCTGGACCTGATGATCTCAAACCATGCAGAGCTTATTACGAATGTCCATGTAAAAGAACATCTGGGTAGCAGTGACCATAACATGATCTCATTTATTGTTAGCTGTAAACAGCAAGTACATACGGGAAAAATAAAAACACTCAATTTTAAGAGAGCTAATTTTCCAAGACTGAGAACTGCTGTTCAAGACTTAGACTGGGAGGGAATATTGGCATCGATGAACACAACACAGAAATGGGAGTTCTTCAATAAGACTGTATCTGAACACACTGCAAAATATATTCCCATGGGAAACAAGGTGAAAAGGCTAAAAAATCAAACCTATGTGGCTTATGGCCAAAGTTAAAAAAGCTATAAATAATAAGAAAAGAGCTTTTATTAAATATAAAAAAGAAGGAAGCATCGTTTAAACATTACAAAGTATATAACAGAATATGCAAAAAGGAAATAAAGGCCGAAAAAATTTAAAACGAATGACAGATTGCAAAAGTAAGCAGGACCAACCCCCAAAAATTCTTCAAATATTTTAATAGTATAAAGGTCCGGTCCGAGCATTTTAGGCCCTTTACAAAATAGAGTGGGTGACTGGCAACAAGGAGAAGGCAAATTTATTAAATACCTTCTTCAGCTCTGTGTATACAAAGGAGCATGGGGGAGCTCTTGTCCATAATGGGCATGGTATTGACACAGCTCCAGATGATCCACATTGGCTTACAACTGATATGATCCAAAAATATTTAGACAGAATAAAGGTGACTAAAGCACCTAAACCGGATAGCATACACCCATGGGTCCTGCAAGAATTGAGCTCTGTAATTTCAAAGCCATTGTTTCTAATTTAATGACTGTCACAGTACCACTGGATTGGCATAAGGCCAATGTGGTGCCAATGTTTAAAAAAAGGTCAAAATCTTTTCCAAATAATTATAGACCTGTTAGTTTAAAATCTATAGTTGGAAAGATAATGGAGAGTTTAATAAAAGACCACATAGATGAGTTTTTGCTGGAAAAAACATATTTTAAGCAACAGACAGCATGGATCCATGAAAGACAGAAGTTGTCAAATCTGATTTCTTTTTATGAGGGGGTGAGCAAAACCTTGGACAGAGGGGTGGCGGTGGACGTGGTATACTTGGATTTTGCAAAAGTATTTGACACAGTTCCCCACACACGGCTAATGTGTAAGGTAAAGTCTACAGGCTTGCAAAAATCCTTATGTAAATGGATAGAAAACTGGCTAAAAGATCGTATTCAGAGAGTAGTGGTTAATTATTCATTCTCTGAATGGTCTAGGGTTGTCAGCGGTGTACCCCATGGTTCAGTGTTGGGACTCTTACTCTTTACTTTTACATATAACCCCCTCCTCTTCCCAGCATACCCCATTTCTTTATCATACATCTCAGAAAAGTTAATTAAGGTCGGCTTGTAAGTTGGAAACATCCTGTAAGGACGTTATTCTACTGCACAGCTTGGTGTCATCTGCAAAGACTGAAATGGTATTTTTAATCCCAGACCCTTTATCGTTTATAAATATATTAAAAAGTACTTTAGATCCACCCCCCGAGATGTTTGCTGGCTGCCTTTAGAGGTGAATGCAGACACAGCAGCAGTATGAAATTCTGAAGGACCCTCTGCACACTGGTATATACCCTTTCAAGCAAACTATGCAACAAATAGGGATATTTGGTTCACACATATTGCAATACATGTTTAAGCTGGCCAACTGCGTCAAAGTAATCCCTCTATGGCCAGTCCTACTCTGCCCTGCCAACGCAAGTGCTACTGCGGACACAATGCTAGCATAGGGGAAAAGACACAATGGGGAGAGCTACAAGGTTCAGGTCTGGCTACTGACCCAACAATACAACAAACAAGAGATCCCTGTGCTCAAATCCATACAGCTAGTGCATGCATTTATCCATCAGGTGCTAAAGGGGTGTAACCACATTAACTCTAGAAATTCTGAAGGACCCTAATTAATGTGGTTACACCCCTTTAGCACCTGATGGATAAATGCATGCACTAGCTGTATGGATTTGAGCACAGGGATCTCTTGTTTACAGCACAGTATGGGCACAGCCACATGTCAAAACCTGACATGCGTGCAGGAGCGGGTGCACAATTCTAGATGCACGCTTCCTGCATTTATGTCCATACCCCCTCTCCTGCACACTGTTTCCATGCAGCCACTGTGTCTGCATCGACCTCTATAGGCGGCCTGCTTGTAGCAAGGGTGTCAACATCCATCTGAACGAAGCCCTAAATAGAAATTGTACTCATTTTAAACCTTCTAAAATGACTGAACCTAAAAGCAGATCGCTAGAGGTAACTTGCACGCCCTTCAAATTGTTTAGGAACCCTAATACTTGGGGCACTCTTATTATGCAAATATTGACCAGCTTCAGAGATATGAGGTACGAGCACACCTCCCCCCTCCCCCACCACCACACACACACACACACACACACCTTCTGCATGTTGTCATTTGAACCAACTATCAGAACAAAAGAAAAGAGGGGGTGATTTGTTGGTATCCTTTTCCAAAAAAGGAGAACCCAATATTTTCTCTGAAACACCGTGAAACTAACCAAAGTATGCATTATTGTTTCATATATAATAAATAATTGGACCTGTTTTTTTGTTAATAAAGTTTTAAATAAAGCATAGCTTTGCTGAGCCTCCTCCATGATTCACAGTAGGTACAGTGTTCTTTGAAAGGTTAATTTTTCCATCTTTAAACATAAAGGTTATGTAATTTCATTTTTGTCTCGCCTGTCTCCCAGAAGCTTTGTGGCTTGCCAACATGCATTTCAGCAAATTCTGGTCTAGCGTTTTTATGTTATTCTTTCAACAGAGGAGTCCTCCTGGGTCTTATAGCTTTGGATCCACTGTTGTGTTCCTTTGTTTTTTGTCTACCATTCCCACTTTCCTTCTGTTTAATCTGGGGTCGATATTCCTCTTGTAGCCACATCCAAGGAAGTTTACTACAGTCCCTACAGTAAACTAAAATATTTAAAACTATAGTCACAAGAACATCAAGATTATTGGAGATGATCTTTTTGCTTTTACCATTGACATGCTTGTCTAGAATCTTTCTTTTTTTTCTGTTCTCATCAGACAACTCTCAATCAATTGATTTATCTGTGCACTGTGGTACACAATGATACCGTACAGCAGGGTGACTACTCTTGTCCATTTAAATAGGCTGTCAGACTGACTTGTTAGTAAATTGATTGTGTAATACCAGTTACAAAAAATCGTTTAAAAGTTCACTTGGATACAATTATTTTATAGACTTTTCTAGGAGCACCAATACATTTTTTTCCAAGGCCATTTACTTTAAAATATCTAGTGATTTTTCTATTTTCACATTTTTTTTGTTTTACTCTATGACATACTAAAGGTATGGGAGTATTGCTTTTATTTGGTACTTTTCAGTAAGATTGAAGCATTGTTTCAGTGAGCTATAAGGGTACCAACAGATATGTATGTGTGTGTGGTTATATTTAAATGCTCATCATGTTAATATTGCCTGTTTTTGTCATGCTGTGTGGGCCAACAGATAATTTTTTGTAGAAGAGGTGAGATCATATACTTTCACTGGGTGAAGTGTACGTGTAGTATTTTTCATTCTTCTGGGTCGCCAGGTAGGAGACAAATTATGTTGTTTTTATATCTAACTGCATAGATATAGAATTGTTTATGAACCTAAAGAATGCCTTTAATAATTAACTTTGATTAATAATTGGATTTTAAACTTCATATGTGATAAATATGCTGCTCTTTTTTTTTCTAGTTGGTTTTTTGGCAAAATTCCACGTGCTAAAGCAGAGGAGATGCTTGGAAAACAAAGACATGACGGTGCCTTTTTGATCCGAGAAAGTGAAAGTGCCCCAGGAGACTTCTCGCTGTCAGTCAAGTGAGTCCATTTTATCAACTCCTGTAACAAAGGCCAGAGATTAACATCAACCAGGATATTGACGGTGATTTATTGTACGGTGTTAGCAGCTTAGGCACGGGCTTCTTATTTGCAAACTGTATAATATTTTGCAGGCGCGTTTGTTTATAATTAATTTTCCTTTTACAGGTTTGGCAATGATGTACAGCATTTCAAGGTCCTGCGAGACGGGGCAGGGAAATACTTCTTGTGGGTGGTAAAGTTTAATTCCCTGAATGAGCTAGTGGACTACCATCGGTCCACATCTGTGTCCCGGAACCAGCAGATCTTCTTACGTGACATCGAGCAGGTGCCACAGGTACACGGGGGAGACAGAGCCACAAGTTTAACACAGGTATATAGAGGGGGGGCATTAGGAGAAAGGTGTACATCTGTTTCTAGATATCCTTGGAATTTAAGGTTTTAATGATTTTAAAAATGTTAATATTAGTCAGTGCAGTCTTTCACACTTGGCTTTTAACTGAGCCATATTGTAATGGGTTTGGCTTTCAACCCCTGTATGTAAGATCTATTTTGTGTGTACAGAATTTAGTTTGATGCAGATGATTTAGAACATGTGTTTAAAAGAATGTACATAATAACCTCTGAACTTTCCATCCCGACAGCAACCTACCTATGTGCAGGCACTGTTTGACTTTGACCCACAGGAAGATGGGGAGCTTGGATTCAGACGAGGAGATTTCATCCAGGTCGTGGACAACTCAGACCCCAACTGGTGGAAAGGGACATGTCACGGTCAAACTGGCATGTTTCCACGCAACTATGTGACACCAGTAAACCGCAACCTGTAACTAGAGCCTGCACAGGACCAGAAGCCAAGGAGGAGCACAGACAAGCTTACCTGGGTGGGATTGCTGGGGGACTAGCAGGCAAAAGAATAGAATGTGGGTGAATGGACAAATGGATATAACTGAATAGAAGAGCACGGACAGGCAACACACTGACCTAGGAGAAAGTAACCTTAGTCCAATAATTCAGGGAAACCGTTTCATGGCATGGAAGGGGTATAGCAGACTTGAATGGGTGGAATTGCTTATGGGCTGACAGAAATGTGATTTAGGGAAAGGGAAGATAAAATACTGGCACTAAACATAAACCGTGACTTACAAAAATGGACAAGAAACAGTCCCTGACATGCGCTGACTAACCCAGTTGTCTGTCTGTGCTGTAAACAGTTGACTCTCAGCATTTTTGAAGCAAGAATGTCCCCTTGGCTCTGTGTGAGACTTACATTTGGGGTGGGAGGGTGGGGGATGTTCAAAGTCAGGCAAGTTCATTGAGGGGGGTGGGGGTGGGAAGTTACAGATATTTGATTTAGAATGCCAAAAGTTACCTTTAAATTAAACAGAAACAAGAGACTTTTTTTTTAAATTAACAAATTCCCTTTACTGCTGCTGTTCCTCCCTTGTTCTATGTTTCTTCACTCCAGTTCTTGTTTATTGTGCATGTGTGTTTTTGCAGCGCACTTAATACAACACGCACCTGTAAAATAAAGTGTACAAAAATCCAGCCATTTCTCTCTATGCAAATCTTGGCCTCTTGGATTCTTTACAAGGAAGTCCTTCCTCATGACCCAGGTTAACCCAGGTGGGTTATTTAATAAAGAAAAATGTAGTGGGATTAACGCTTTTGCTTTTTGAGCTAACGTGCATCATATAACCCCCTTTTACCATGTCGTGATAAAAGGTTCATATGATCTGAGCAGACGTTATTCAATGAGATGTTCCTTAAGTAATGTGGAATCAATAATAAAATCAACGCTCCTTTTCAGGGAATGGCTTAGAAGATAAAGCGTGTGATTGCCTACACTTTAAGCCTATGATTGATAAGGTTTGCTGCACTGGTAGTAAACCAGTAACTATTATAAGCAGAAGCACTAAAGATGTACAGCCCAGATATCTCTTTCCATGATTTGTTCTAAATCATTTTTGTTTTGTTAATGGATAAAACAGGCCTGTTCTGATCTGCTGGTCAGTTAAATTTAAATGTCACACAAATGACAATGAGTTCACATACACACAATTCACATACAACAACTGCAGGAAACCTAAATGTTTAAAGCTGAACATGTGCTAAAAATGTGTTGCAAGCTCCAGTGAAAGCGCAAGCCAAGGTGTTCTTTATCATGTTGAGCCTTACACTTTTATTACTTCAGCTGTAAAATGTTGCAATAGATGTTAACCCTCTGAGAGGGCTTACAGGCAAAATAGATTTTTTGTGACATGATACATGAAGATTACGAACGCTATGTCTGATCCTTGTGTAATGATAATATAATTGATCAGAATAGCAACAGTTAAAGGCCTTCTCTTGCTGAAGTATTAAAGCATTGACCCAAGTATAGTAATCCCTACAGTACAACAGCAACTGCTTTTTGTCCCTTTCTTTTTACCCTTTTTTTTTTTTTTGGTCTTGGTCCATTATTGTCTCCCTCCTTCAGACTTATGTGAACCAGGTTAGGAACGCACTGGGACCATTTGATTGTGTATTTGGGGATTTGTGTATATCCTGCATCCTTGCAGATGAATAGTGTGTGTGTATATATATAAATATATATAAAAAAAATCAAAGCAGTGTTTAAATAATTAAGAACAGCTCTTGTATTTAATCCTCAATGCATCATATGGTAGATAGTTGTTAACTGTTAATAATAATAAAAGTTATGTGTATTCTTCATCTGCCTGCTAGTGACCTCATTTTATCTTTAGCTTAAGATGGTTAGCTGTATTTGACATAACAGAATTATATGTGATTACATTTAATCATTGCTGGCAAACTTGGTGTTCATCCATAGGACTGTTATTTTGACTGATCGCACAGCTTTTATTAAAGCCCACTTTATCTGCACTGTTATCTCTATGTAGAGCTGTACCCCCCCCCCCCCCCCCCAAAAAAAAAAAAAAAAAAAAAAAAGTAACAGCCACAGCCCTCATTACAGTGGTTGTCACAGAGATTTCTATTGTTGTGAAAGAGAAGGAGGTATGTCTAACCTGTTCTGCTGCTTGTTAGGGACATGGAAATTTGGAGCACTGGATCTTTTGATTTGAGTAGGGACCCCAATTGGGTGTCCAGAATGGTTTTATTTATTTATTTTCTGGTCCATTGAAAGACACAGGAATTCAGAAATCTGTTGTGCTTTTGCGTACAGGAGGTTGGGACACTGGCAAAGAAAAATTATAAGGTAGTCCACATAGAACCCCCTCCTCTTCCCAGCATGCCCCATTTCTTTATCATACATCTCAGAAAGGTTAATTCTTATAACAATCGTTAAGCTCCGCCTCCAGTCTGTGAACACTGGCAAATCACAAAGCTGTAGTCCAGACCTGCATAACCTTCCCAGTCCCAGCATGCCTTTAGTTTTTTGCTAATGCCCTTAGGAGATGATGTTTTTTTCTCCTCCTTTTGATAGAATATTTTGCCTTTTTTTTTCTCCCCGTTGCTGGTATTTGTCAAGATCTTTAGCAATTATCATTTGGTGTCCAGCTGCTGAGTTCTAGGGCTTTTTTCTGGCAGCGTTATCTACATTGGTCATCTGTTGGTCTTTGTAACACAAGTGACTATACCCAGATCCCCTTGGTGAAGAATAGGGGTGGTCTGTAAGTTAGTGACTGGCACTGGAACTTGCAGATACTGTTCACCTTGGCACACAGTTTGCATTGTGTTCTAGTAGAGTGCTCTACAGGTCCAGGGCAGTGGTGCGCTGTGTTGGAACCCAGACCCTAATGGCCCCTGTGTGGTTATGCCAGGTGTTCATGAAGCAAAAATCGAGCAAGATTCTGTCCTCAACTCTGCATCTCTCAGACTTCACACTGCAAGTACCCCTGTGTATGGAGCTTGCATGCTGTGTTTCCTGCCCTGCTGGGCTGGGGAAGCGGTGCCCATGCTTTGAAAAGGCTGGCTGGTGCTCTTCCACAGTCACAGGAGGCAAGCAGCTGATCAGGCACCAGATTTGAAATGTTCATCTTTGTTTTGGTGACCTGATCTTCTGCTTCAAGGGAAGTCTTCTGGCATGTCTGCATTGGTCCAACCCTCCATACACATGCCACCTTGAATGCCTTTTCTATGCAGGCACTGTAGGTTACCTTTAAACTGCACAATTGTTCTACTATACTGGGCTCTAAAAGTGTTGGGTGTTGGACTCACAAGGCTTCTCTCTCAATTGCATGGATCAAGCTCATGAGTACGCTTGATGCATGTGATGGTGTCTGCATAGTTCCAGAGCCAATGAAATTTGGCAGAACTAGTGGCATGGTAATAATGATTTTTCTAGTTGATGGTACGGGTGGAATTCTGACCACCAATGTAAGAGTGGAATTATTCCTACTGGCTACCTTTTTTGTAAGTGGCATGTTTCTCACTGATCCCCAAATAATTTGTTTTACCTGGGGTTTCCAAAAACTTTTGATTTATTTTGAGGGTTCATTCGGGGTTAGAAGGTTGAGAAAGGCTAACTTAGTCTGTTTATCCCTCTCTGTAAAAATATCTATTATGTTGCCAGTAGGTAACCTTTATCTTTTAAAACTTGGCAGGTTTTCCACTCAGTTGATGCTTGGGTGGTGACAATACACAGTTGCAATACACCAGTTTACACACTTACATCTGCCATTTTTGTTGAGAACACAAGAAAACACATTGGTAGCTCTCCCCACTGCTTACCTTCCAGGGACACAGCAACAGGTCAGCGCCTGGTTTTTAGTGGCTCCCCTTTCAGTCTGTATCCATTTAGTGAGTACCCCACAAGCAACCCCTTCACTTAGCAATGGAGGAGATAAGGCTCAGCAGCAGAGAAAAAAAGGGCATAATAGCATTTTGCAACAGACTGAACTGAGGAAAACCAGCAAAACTCTCAGGGCAGTAGTTGTTCCCCTGCACCAGAGCAAGGTTATATACTGAGCGCTTCCTTCCTCTAATTCTATCTCTCTCTGGTGCCCACAGCAGATGACATCAGACTAAGGCAGATTTCATTAGAACTTTGATTTCTTTAAAAAGAAAAAAAAAAACTTTACAGTTTTTTAGGGGAAAGGTACTTATACCCCACGAAAAAAAAACTTAAGCCTACTAATACCATGACTACTACTTCTTACCATTGAAGGGGGTCCTTTTGTTCCACTAAGGAATCCTCCTCTGTTGAAAGCATGTCCATCTTTTTACCACGAGCCTTGGAATCCAAAATTCTTCAAGCCTACCAAGAAGCCTTTACAAAGAAAGGACTTCTAGGTCCAGTGCTGAGACAACTTCAAGCATGAATGGTAATTCCCATTCATCGTTTCTCTCAGATTAGAGACAAGTGAATTTCTTGGATCAGTAGACATCAAGATGCATATCTTCACATTCCCATCTTTCATGTTCACCAACACTTTGCTATAGGGGACTAACTTTTTCAACTACTTGCCCTGCCATATGGACTCTCCTCTGCACCAAGACTTCAAAAAAGTATTGGCTCTCCTCTTGGCTCTGTTAAGATCTCAGATCATGCATGTTCTCGGGTACCTGGACAATCTTCTGCTGAGTGACTCCTCAGTCAAACTTTCAGAGTGATTAACTTCAAGATATCTGCCCTCCAACATTCCCATCGTCTGGAGTATTTGGGGCTGATCTAGGATCTAACCCAGGCAAAGTTTTCCTTTCCCAGAAAAGGATTGCTTCTCTGAGGTCAAACTGTAGGACTCTTGTCAACCATGCATTTCACAACTTGCTTCAACATGAGGGACTTGGGTTTCAGGAAGCTTTCTTTGAGGTGATCCCCTTTACTCTGTCCCAATTGAGATCCTTGCAGAATAATATTCTCACAAAGTGAGACGAGCAACTCCTCTCTCTCGATCACCCACTACTACTGTCCAGACAGGCAAAGATCTTCCTGGTATGCTGGATTTCTCTGGAAGGTTGTTACTACGCAAGCCTGACAGGCTGGGACAGGGCCAGTCACCTAATCAGGGCGCAGTCAGACAATGCCATAACTGGCCTGCTTAAACTACCAATAGGATACCAGAAGTCAGGCATCCCTGGAGAAAGCAAGTCTGATTCTCTCTTGGGCTGAGAAACACATTCTGACTATCATCTACATACCGGGAGTGAAAAATTGCCAAGTGGACTCCCCTAAGTCTCCAATACCTAGGACATGGACGTGATCCCTCCAACTGGAGATCTTTTGTCAAAACTGGGGGAACACCAGATGTTGATATCATGGCCTTCAGATTCAACAAAAAATTAGACAGCGTTGTGGCTGCATCTAGGGATCCCCTGATGATTAATTGGTCCATGTTCAGAATGGTTTATGCTCCAAGGAGCATTCTTTCTCAACTACTTTGCAAGATCGGTAAAGAACAGATTCTGAGGATCCTCATCACCCTAAATTTGCCCAGGAGAACTTGGTACACAGACATACACTGATCCTTGGCCTCTTCCGAAAAAAACTAGACCTTCTGTCACAAGGTCCTCGGTGACAACCTGTTTCTCAGTCATTGGTTTTAACAGCAAGGATCTTCTAAACCTTTTGCCAAGACGTTTGTACAGGTAGTTGCTCTTGTCAATCCCCCCCTCTGACCTGCGGTGTCTCTGTGGGATCTGAATTTGGTAGTCCTGAAATACAGACCCTGCTTCCTCCCCAAGGTGGTCTTTTCCATTCACCTCAGTGAGATTTTATCCTCCTTTCCCTGTGTCCTGCCTCAAAGAATGCCAAGGAGATTTTACTACTACTGCCTAGATGTGTTCAGAGCAGTTAGGGTCTACCTAGCTGCAACATTTTCCTTCAGAAAATGAATAAAGCTCCCAAAAGGGACATCCTGCTTCATCTTTCACTATTGCTAGGTGGCTCAGGCAGGCAGTTCATTCCAAGGCTTATGCATTCAAGAAAAGGGTTCCTCTCCTCTCTGTCCAGGCACATTCCACCAGATTTGTTGGTGTTTCTTGGGCTTTTCAGCATCAAGCATTTGTTTTACAGGTTTGCAGGGTTGCCACCTGGTCCTCTGTTCATGCCGTGTGGATCTTCAGGCCTCTGTTGATGTGAGCTTCGACCACAAGATGCTTCAAACTGTATTATGAATGTTCCAAGCCTGCTGAATTGTTCAGTACAGGACACAAACTGAGTATTCATAGACTCTGGGATATAGGCTTGTACTTTCACGGTGATTAGACACTGGCAAAGTTTTTGAGGACACCCCCTCGGTGCCTCTCTTGAGTCTTTTCAGCTTTTTGGATGTCACTTTTAGCTGGCTAGTTTATTTTATCTTTAGATTCTTCAATCAACTCTTCAATGTCTTCCAATACCTCAATAAAAGCAGAGCATCTGGATCATTGCAACCTCATGAAGCCTCATGCAGTGGTAAAAGCCTGTAATGTTGGTTCGTGTAAAGGATCCTGCATGATTGTACTTTGTGCAAAGTGTGTAGTCAACCACAGGGTGCTATACAGGTCCAGGGCCGTGGTTCATCCCTATGGAACCCATATCCTGAAGACTCCTTTGAGAGTGTGCCCACTGTGACCAGTGAAGCCCTGGACCTTATATCGGGTTCAGTGTTGTGGACAGGTTAGACAGGGTCATCCTGTAGCTGCTACGTTTGGAATGTGTTCACTTTACAGTGTAACTTTTTCAAACTTTTGAGCTAAACCACTCAGAGCTTAGTCTCAGATGAATGACCAGGTGTTACATCACACCACTGGTCGCTAACTTTACTTCCATTTCCGCCTAAAAGCCCTTATGAGGTACTCAGTTGCTTACTTTCCCACCCTTGCACCATGGGGACTTAGCTACAGCAGAGTCTAAACTCGGGTTGCTACATACTTTTTCTGGGCATGCTTACCCAATATTCTGTATCCCACAGGGGATCACTTTTACTGTAGCTATGGAGAAACCAAGAAAAAGGGAGCCACAGCAAAAACTGCTCTGCCAAAGCACTGCTCAACACTTAATCTCACAGTGAGATTGCTTCCCTTGCATCAGAGATGGACTTGATTTTAACACCAGTCTCTGCATCAGACTCCAGCCTACCTGACAAAGGCAGATTTTTCTGCAACTATGTCACAATTTTTCAGACCGCTAACGGCTTAAATACAGCCTTCTTTGTCCAGAGCTCCAAAATCCAAAAGCTAGATTACTTCACGCGGTCCTCAGGTATAGCTATATAAAACATTAAAAATAAGTGCCCATACTGTTTAACTGCCCAGTAGTACTATGACAGCCAGGTGGGAGCGCTGTTATCCTGGGTGGACGTCATATGACAAAGTGTGTAAAAAAAAAAAAAAAAAAAAAAAAAAAATCCTGATCACTCCTCCACAGCAGTACATTACTATGGTGACACTGAGCTACACTAATGAAAAGATGTAAAAAAAAAAAAAAAAAAATTATAAAATTGTATTTTTTTTTTGGGATACTGACACCAGTCAGTGCCCCTAATCACTTCCACACCAGCCATATGATGACACCATACTACACGGTGACATTATGTAAACAAAAATAAAAATTGTGAAAAGAAAAGTTTTTAATTTCTTCATTTTACAAAAAATCGTGACAAAAATACAACTTAAAAAAGCTCACCATGCCTCTTACTAAATACCTCAGACTGTCTTTTTTCCAAAAAGGGGCCATTTGGTGTGGGGGTATTTGTACTGTCCTAGCGTTCACGGACCTCATGAAATTAGAAAGGGCCGTCAATACATCAGAATTGATCAATTTTCAAATATATATACAGTATCTCACAGAAGTGAGTACACCCCTCACATTTTTGTAAATATTTTATTATCTTTTCATGTGACAACACTGAAGAAATGACACTTTGCTACAATGTAAAATAGTGAGTGTACAGCTTGTATAACAGTGTAAATTTGCTGTTCCCTCAACATAACTCAACACACAGCCATTAATGTCTAAACCGCTGGCAACAAAAGTGAGTACACCCGTAAGTGAAAATGTCCAAATTGGGCCCAATTAGCCATTTTCCCTCCCTGGTATCATGTGACTCGTTAGTGTTACAAGGTCTCAGGTGTGAATGGGGAGCAGGTGTGTTAAATTTGGTGTTATTGCAGTCACTCTGTCATACTGGTCACTGGAAGTTCAACATGGCTCCTCATGGCAAAGAACTCTGAGGATCTGCAAAAAAGAATTGCTCTACATAAAGATGGCCTAGGCTATAAGAAGATTGCCAAGACCCTGAAACTGAGCTGCAGCACGGTGGCCAAGACCACACAGCGGTTTAACAGGACAGGTTCCACTCAGAACAGGTCTCGCCATGGTCAACCAAAGAAGTTGAGTGCACGTGCTCAGGGTCATATCCAGAGGTTGTCTTTGGAAAATAGACGTATGAGTGCTGCCAGCATTGCTGCAGAGGTTGAAAGGGTGGGGGGTCAGCCTGTCAGTGCTCAGACCATATGTCGCACACTGCATCAAATTGTTCTGAATGGCTGTCATCTCAGAAGGAAGCCTCTTCTAAAGTTGATGTTGATGCACAAGAAAGCCTGCAAACAGTTTGCTGAAGACATGCAGACTAAGGACATGTATGTCTTGCCTACAGTCAAGCATGGTGGTGGGAGTGTCATGGTCTGGGGCTGCTGGCCCAGGGGAGCTACAGTTCATTGAGGGAACCATGAATGCCAACATGTACTGTGACATACTGAAGCAGAGCATGATCCCCTCCCTTCGGAGACTGGGCCGCAGGGCAGTATTCCAACATGATAACAACCCCAAACACACCTCCAAGATGACCACTGCCTTGCTAAAGAAGCTAAGGGTAAAGGTGATGGACTGGCCAAGCATGTCTCCAGACCTAAACCCTATTGAGCATCTGTGGGGCATCCTCAAACGGAAGGTGGAGGAGCGCAAGGTCTCTAACATCCACCAGCTCTGTGATGTCGTCATGGAGGAGTGGAAGATGACTCCAGTGGCAAGCTGTGACGCTCTGGTGAACTCCATACCCAAGAGGGTTAAGGCAGTGCTGGAAAATAATGGTGGCCACACAAAATATTGACACTTTGGGCCCAATTTGGACATTTTCACTTAGGGGTGTACTCACTTTTGTTGCTAGAGGTTTAGACATTATTGGCTGTGTGTTGAGTTATTTTGAGGGGACAGCAAATTTCCACTTTTATAAAAGCTGTACATTCACTACTTTACATTGTAGCAAAGTGTAATTTCTTCAGTGTTGTCACATGAAAAGACACACACACACACACACACACACACACACACACACACACACACACACACACACACACACACACACACACACACACACACACACACACACACACACACACACACACACTCACACACACACACTCACACACACACACACACACACACACACTCTTTGTGGGCTCTAACTTTCCTACAGACTAAACAATACACATTGATTTGGGCTATTTTTAACAAAGAAATGTAGCAGAATACATTTTAGCCTAAGTTTATGAAGAAAGATTATTTCTTTGCAAAATTTTATAATAGAAACGAAGAAAAACCCTTTTTTTTTTTAAAATTTATGGGGGGGTTTTTTGTTTAACATCCAGTGATGATTAACCGCTTTCCCGCCGCCCTATAGCAGATGTACTGCTGCAGGGGTGCGCAAAATCACTTATATATACGTGATTTTGTATTTCCGGGTAGGGGGCATGCATGCCACCATTCGCAGCCTTCAGTCACCAGGTCCCGGCCGGTGATTACTTTCCAGCACCCGGTGATCGCCGAGGATCTTCGACGGGGGGGAACTGTTAGTAAACGAAACCGTTCTCCTCCCTGTCAGCTCATGCACACTGCTTCGCATGGCTGTGCACACCACAGCCATGCAAAGCAGTGTGCTTACAATGAAGCATACAGACACAGCCCCATAGTATTGCATTTCTGGGTAGGGGGCCCGCACCGCTATTCACGGCCTCAGCTGTCAATCGCTGGGTCCTGGCTGGTGATTACTCGCCGGCAACTGGTGATCGAGGAGCATTACCGACGGAGAGAGAGAACTGTAAGTAAACAATACAGTTCTCTCCCCTGTCAGCTCCTGCTCACTGCTTTGCATGGCTTTGCATAGCAGAGCCATGCAAAGCAGTGTGCTTACAGTAAAACAGCACACAGTTAACCCTTTGATCGCCCCATGTTAACCCCTTCCTGCCCAGTGCTATTAGTACAGTGTCAGTGGTTTTTATTAGCACTGATCACTGTACTGGTGTAACTGGGGATGTCAGTGACACCAAGTCAGTTCCCCCCAGTGTCAGAATGCCCACCGCAGTCCCGCTATAAGTCGCTGATCACTGCCATTACTAGTAAAAAGTGAAAAAAAAAAATCCAATTAATTTACACGTATTGTGAATTTTTTTTTTTAGCAAAGACATGTCGCAGAATACATTTTGGCCTAAATTTGCCGAAATTTGATTTTTAAAATTTTTTTACTGGGCATGTTTTAATAGCAAAAAGTCAAAAATATTTTTTTTCTCAAAATTGTCAGTCTTTTTTTTTATAGCGTAAAAATTAAACGCATAGGCGATCAAATACCACCAAAAGAAAGCTCAATTCGTGGGGAAAAAAAGGACATACATTTAATTTGGATGCAGCGTTGCATGACCACGCAATTGTCAGTTAAAGTAACGTAGCGCTGTAACGCAAAAAATGGCCTGGTCAGGAAGGGGGGTAAATCCTTTAGGGGCAATTGGTTAAATACCACCGAGAGACAGCTCTATTTGTGTGAATAAAATTATGACAATTTAATTTTGGTACAGGGGTTGCATGATTGAGTAATTGTCATTCAAAGTGTGACAGCACTGAAAACTGAAAATTGGCTTGGGCAGGATGAGGGTGAAAATGTTCGTTACTGAAATGGTTACAATCTAGTAATACACTGTCTCACCCTACTCTGCAAATGCTCAGTTGCTCTCTATTTTTTGACACTGTACCAAAAATTTAGAGGCTGATCTGCTGACAGCCTACAGATTTACTGCTCCTCAGGGGCTCTGGGCTTTAGCATAATGGCAGCCTCCAGGAAGAAGAAACAGGAACAATGCTGGAGGCAATTTACAACACATACTAATTTTGGTAGCATAATTATTAATGTGGAATGTATGTTCCTTGCTAAAGAACATTATTTTTTTTTATCAAGTTCCTCTCTGACTCCCTGACATCAAGCTTCTGTTGCCCAGTGTCATCAAGATAAAACAAAACCAGCGCTCAGATCTTCATGCCCCACTGGAACACGGTATCTGTCACTCGCAGAGGTGCAGCCCTCTAAAGATCGGGGAATCTTGATACTAGCAAAAAGAAAACACAGAAGGGCACACTCTCCTCATGCATTACTGTGATAAAAATTAGCTAACGTGTTTTTGGAGTAGAACTCTCTGCTCTGAGGAAGGGAGTACTCCCGAAACGCACTAGCTCATCCTATCACAGGACCCCCGCGGTCTGGGACTGCCACCTTTGGTTCCTTGTCCCTGTTTTTATGACCCTTGGTTTGTGAGTGCACTTGTCATTTTTTTTTTAATAAATTCATTTTTAGCACGGTAATACACAAGGAGAGTGCACCCTTCTGTATTTTCTTTTTCTGTTGCCTAGTATTGTAAGGTCGCCACCTGGACTTTGATTCATACTCTCTCCAATGTGGATGCCCAGGCCTCTGCAGATGCAACCTTTAGGTGTAAGGTTCTTTCAGCGGCACTCAGATTTGAGCCTTTTTACCCTTGTTTTTTTGTTAGGCCTGCTGGCACTGTTCTGTTTATCTTGTGTTGCTCACCCTTCTTATTCATTGTTTGGGGACATCCCAATGTATATGAATATCCAGTCTGTGTTCTGTAAAAGGACAACTTTACTTACCTGTATATTTCATCTTGAAGTACATTACAGGATACAGACCAAACCCTCCCCTCTGTTTCTGTATTGCTCTGCTTTGCTTTTTAAAAAAACTGAGGTCTCAAATAGGTGGGTAGGGTTATAAGGGTATGCCCAGGAGGTATGCAATCACTTAAAGGTAGCAGCCTATAACCCAGGGTCTATGAATATCCTGCCTACAATGTACTCCAAGATATGGAATTTACAGGTAAGACAAAATTCTTTTTTCAAATTACTTGTAAAATCGTTTTCTTGTAGTAAATTATAGGACACAGGTCTATCCCTTCTGTTCTTATGATTCCCTCCTTATTTCTTGCTACAAAAACCAGGCTGGCTGGTAGTGGGAAGGGTTATATTGGGGCTGTCATACAGTAGTTTGCTAGTGTCCAATCACCTTAAGTGAGCAGCATACAGGTGAAACTCAAAAAATTAGAATATCGTGCAAAAGTTCATTTATTTCAGTAATGCAACTTAAAAGGTGAAACTAATATATGAGATAGACTCATTACATGCAAAGCAAGATAGTTCAAGCTGTGATTTGTCATAATTGTGATGATTATGGCTTACAACTCATGAAAACCCCAAATCCACAATCTCAGAAAATTAGAATATTGGTGCAATATTCTCGGCTCAAAGTGTCCCACTCTAATCAGCTAATTAAGCCATAACACCTGCAAAGGGTTCCTGAGCCTTTAAATGGTCTCTCTGTCTGGTTCAGTAGGAATCACAATCATGGGAAAGACTGCTGACCTGACAGTTGTGCAGAAAACCATCATTGACACCCTCCATAAGGAGGGAAAGCCTCTAAAGGTAATTGCAAAAGAAGTTGGATGTTCCCAAAGTGCTGTATCAAAGCACATTAATAGAAAGTTATGTGGAAGGGAAAAGTGTGGAAGAAAAAGGTGCATAAGTAGCAGGGATGACCGCAGGCTGGAGAGGATTGTCAGGAAAAGGCCATTCAAAAGTGTTGGGGACTTTCACAAGGAGTGGACTGAGGCTGGAGTCAGTGCATCAAGAGCCATCACACACAGACGGATCCTTGACATGGGCTTCAAATCTCATATTCCTCGTCAAGCCGCATCAGAAGCGTCTTACCTGGGCTAAAGAAAAACAGACCTGGTCTGTTGCTCAGTGGTCCCAAGTCCTCTTTTCTGATGAGAGCAACTTTTGCATCTCATTTGGAAACCAAGGACCCAGAGTATGGAGGAAGAATGGAGAGGCACACACTGCAAGATGCTTGAAGTCCAGTGTGAAGTTTCCACAGTCTGTTGATTTGGGGAGCCATGTCATCTGCTGGTGTTTGTCCACTGTGCTTCATTAAGTCCAGGGTCAACGCAGCCGTCTACCAGGAGATTTTGGAGCACTTCATGCTTCCTTCCACAGACGAGCTTTATGGGGATGCTGACTTCAGTTTCCAGCAGGGCTTGGCACCTGCCCACACTGCCAAAAGCACCAAAACCTGGTTCAATGACCGTGGGATTACTGTGCTTGATTGTCCAGCAAACTCACCTGACCTGAACCCCATAGAGAATCTATGGGGCATTGCCAAGAGAAAGATGAGAGACATGAGACCAAACAATGCAGAAGAGCTGAAGGCCGCTTTTGAAGCATCCTGGTCTTCCATAACACCTCAGCAGTGCCACAGGCTAATAGCTTCCATGCCACGCCGCATTGAGGCAGTAATTGCTGCAAAAGGGGCCCAAACCAAGTACTGAGTACATATGCACGTTTATACTTTTCAGAGGTCCAATATTGTTCTATGTCCAATCCTTGTTTTATTGACTGCATGTAAAATTTTAATTTTCTGAGATTGTGGATTTGGGGTTTTCATGAGCTGTAAGCCATAATCATCACAAATATGACAAATCACGGCTTGAACTATCTTGCTTTTTATGTAATGAGTCTATCTCATATATTTAGTTTCACCTTTTACATTGCATTACTGAAATAAATGAACGTTTGCACGATATTCTAATTTTTCGACTTTCCTGTTTATAGCCATGGTCTACTGATCCTGTTTCATGTACTGTACTCCATGATAAGGATTATACAGGTAAGTCAGAAATCCTATTTTATTGCATTTCAACAGTCTTTAACATGGTAATGTAATTTCAAAAGTCATGCTGTCATTTTAGATGTGCATCTTTTATTAAAATAATGCCTAGTATTTCTGCCATAAATGTATTTTATAGGGAACAACTTTGTCTCTGTCTCCCATTTGCATTTCTGCATTGTCACCCCTTCCATGTGCGTTTCCACTTATAAGTAGCCATACTAACTCCCATTGCAAAGACATGTTCTGCCATTGCCACCTTTAGACCTCTTTAGTGCTTCCTTTCTCTGTCAGGGCACATTACACCATATCTGTCAATGCTTCATGGGCCTTCCAGTACCAAGCATCTGTTTCACAGATTTGCAAGGATGCCACCTGGGCTTCTGCTCACGTCTGTAAATTTTACCATGTAAATGTTCACACCATTTCCCTTATTAGAACATTTCTTTGAGGTGTCTCTTGGATTATACCCCCATTACAGCACCCTGTGCTTGGAATCTTAATTTGGTTCTTTCTGCCCTGTACAAACCATCCTGTGAACCCATTAGGGAACTCCCCTTGGGTGATCTTTCCTACAAAATGGCCTTTTTTTCTGGCTATCACTTCTGTTAGATTTATTTCTGAGTTAGCGGCTCTATCATGCAAAGAGCCTTTCCTGATTCTTCACAAGGATAAAGTGCTCTTGCATCCAAGAACCTCCTTTCTACTCAAGGTGGTCTCAGCCGTTCACCAAACTGAAGACGGGTTCTATCTAACAGCCACAGTTTGTTCTAGAAAAATAGACTCTTGTATTGCTGATGGAGTCTCGTCAAGGAAATTCTGCTTCTAATTCCACCACTTGTACATGAACAAGACTGTTCACTGCAAGGGCTTTTTTTAAGGGCTAATTACCCATAAAATCCTTTTCTTGTAGTACATTACAGGACACAGGTCCATCCCTTCTGTTCTTGTGATTCCCTCCTTATTTCTTGCTACAAAACTGAGGCTGGCTGGTAGTGGGAAGGGTTGTATTGGGGCTGTCTTTATACAGGAGTTTTCTAGTGTCCAGTCACCTTAAGTGAGCAGCAAATAGCCATGGTCTAATTCTCTGATCCGGTTTCCTGTTCTGTAGTCCATGATATGGATTATACAGGTAAATCAAAAATCCTATTTTATTGCGTTTCAATAATCTTTAACATGGTAATGTAATTTCAAAAGTCATGCTCAGTCATTTTAAATGTGCATCTTTTATTAAAATAATGCCTAGTATTTCTGCCATGAAGTTATTTTTTAGGAAACAACTTTTTCTCTGGTCTCTCATTTGCTTTTCTGCACTCTCACCCCTTCCATGTGTGTTTCCACTTATACATAGCCATACTGACTCCCATTGCAA